ATGAGTCCGCACCTTCTGGTACCTCTCCCACAAAGAGTTAATATTTAAAAAAACTTGTCAATTTCAGTAATGAAGAACTTGTCAGAAGTAAATGAAGAAGCCGATTTTATCCATCGAATGGACATCGTTAGGTTTTCGGGCACATGTTTGGATGTGGTGTGGTAGTAAATCTTCCTACTAAAAATTATCAATATTGGTCCATTTTTTATGGACCTATATTGATAATGAGCCTCACCGCAAAGATCGGTATTTGGGGAGATTGAGCACGCGTTTCAAGCAATTTGTGGGCATTTTAATATTTTGGATTCTCATTGAGTAGAGAATGTTCCTATCAAAAATTATCAACATTGGCCCATGGACACGTGCTTCAACCGAATTAGCTGTAATTTTATATTTGGGATTCTCATTGAGTAGAAAATCTCCTTACCAAAAATCAACATGTTAGACCCACTATTCAGCATTTTAAGGGGTTTGTACATGTTTTGCTTTAATTTGATTTTTCAAATTCTTATGGCGTGTTAAATCTTCCTACCAAAAATATCAATGTCTCATTACAGTTTGGTATAGCTCCCATAGAACGGTACCATCCCACTTTCGGTATTTTTAAGACCTTTGTCCAATTTTTAAACCAATGAGACTGCAATTTGGTATAAAGATTAAGATTCTACAATCTTTCTAAATCCCATAATTCCCGCTAATTCTAACTCCCACTGTGCAACACAAAAAATAATTATCGGTAAATTCCATAAAAAAAGTATGATAGAGAAGCTAAGTCCCAATTTAGATTAGCCGAGTTTACTTGCGGCAAGTCTTTGACTGTAGGCGAGAGGGGCAAGGGGAATAGAAATGTAAAAAAATTGCTCGTACCGACAATTTTCTGGCAATTCGTTTTGTGTATTTCGTATTTGTTGACATTTTATATTTATTTAAATGTGAAAAAACTATTGACATCAAAGAAAAAATAAATATTTTTGAACACGGATTGCCTTGTATAGACGCATGAAGCAAGTTCAAAAGGGAACGATAATAATATTTTTATTAATATTAAAAAAAAACCTTGCATTTTAGGTATATAGTGTTTTTGGCAATAATATTGCTATAAGTCCTGATTTATATTAGGCGAGTTTACTTGCGGGAATTTTTATCGTTCTCTTTTGAACTTGCTTCATTCGTCTATACAAGGCAATTCGATTTCAAAAATATTTTTTTTGACAATGTTCTGGATTGGTATTTTAAATTACTGACACTACAAACAAAATTCACAAAACAAATTGTCAGAAAATTGTCGGTACGAGCAATTTTTTTTCAAATTCTATTCCCCTTACCCCTCTCTCCTTCAAACAAAGACTTGCCGCAATTGAACTCGCCTAATATAAATTGGGACTAATACTATTTTTGTCTAATATGTTTACCCTCAGTCGACTCTCTGAATGGTGTCTTTTCGTTCCCTTTTTGCAGAAATGATTGAAAATTCAAATAAAATGGGGTTATAGCAGGTCAGATTCTATTCTACAAAAATGTTCGCCATAAATTTCACTTTCAGTCTCAGACTAGACCAAAACTTGAAAATAAGCCTAAACGTCAAAAATCTTAAAACATATGAAAGGTCATTTTAGGGTTAGAAACGATCTTATTCCGAGTTTGTTCCAATTTTTGCTACTAGATATCATTTTAGAAGGATGGTATAAATGACAAAACTGTTCTCCATCAAATATTAGTATAAGTCACTGAACAAGAGAAATCTGTATGTGTAATATACATACCAAATATAAAGACGCCAATTTAGGATAAAAAGTCGAAACCCAGCAATTTTTTCATAGAAATGTCCCAGTACTTTTTTCAAAAAATTGCATGAAAGTAACATGAAACTTCATATTTCGTGCATTGTGTCTCAAAACAAACTATATATTTAAATACAATATTTTTTTTTTTTTGGAATTTACAGTATACAATTAACATGTTTGAAATTAATTTACACTATTGGTAATTTTTTATATTGAAAATATTGACTTTGAACAGCTGTTTTGATTATTTTGAGAAATAGTTTAGTATTAATAACTATGGACGACGCCGACATGGTCATCAGCATTTTTTAATATTGGAGGAAGAAGTAGCTGATAACAATGAAAAAAGAAGAAAACAAAAGAAACATTGTGTTCGGCCTTTTTCTTTTGGAAGGTGACGGTGTGTATGTTTCTTTTAGGGACCGATTAAAACGGAATGATCCCGAACTATACAAAAACTTCACGAATGTCACCAGACGATTTTGATTATACCCTTCACCACTCTGTGGTACAGGGTATTATGTCTTTGTGCATATGTTTGTAACAGGCAAAAGGAAACGAGATAGACACATGGTTCCTTTTGAGAATATTCATAGAATCACTTTCTGAGTCGATTTATGCATGTCCGTCTGTCTGTCGATGTTAAATTGTAAACAAAGTACAGGTCGCATTTATAATCCGAATTGGATGAAATTTGGCATAGGTCACTTATTTGGCTCAAGGACGAACCCTACTGAAATTGGGAAAAATCGGTTCGATTTTAGGTATATCGATTTAGGTATATATATATATATATATTTCGATTTGCACGAAATTTGGTACAGCGTAATGAATTAGGTCTAGAATGATGTGTGCAAAGTTTCGTGAAAATCGGTTCAGATTTGGATATAGCTCCCATATGTATTTTCGTCCGATTTAAGGTAAATGGTGTACCAAAGTCCATATATATATTTCGATTTGCACGAAATTAGGCGCAGCGTGTTGAATTAGGTCTAGAATGATGTGTGCAAAGTTTCGTGAAAATCGGTTCAGATTTAGATATAGCTCCCATATATATCTTCGTCCGATTTAATGTTAATTGTGTACCAAAGTATATCTTTCGATTTGCACGAAATTTGGCACAGCGTAATGAATTACGTCGACAATGATGTATGTTAAGTTTCGTGAAATTCGGTTCAGATTTGGATATAGCTCTCATATATATCTTCGTCCGATTTTATGTAAATGATGCACCGACGTCCCTATATATCCTTCGATTTGCACGAAATTTGGCACAGCGTACTGAATTAAGTCTAAAACGATGTGTGTTAAATTTCGTGGATATGGGTTCAGATTTAGATATAGCTCCCATATATATTTTCGTCCGATTTTCGGTAAATAGTCACCAAAGTCGGGAAAATCGGTTTAGATTTCGACATATCTCTCATATATACTTTCGATTTTCCGATTTTATGTAAATGGTGCACCAAAGACCCTATATATCTTTCGATTTGCACAAAATTTGACATAGCGTAGTGAATTAAGTCTAGAGAGATGTGTGTTAATTTTCGTGAAAATCGGTTCAGATTTAGAAATAGCTCCCAGATAACGAATAACGTGTATCAATTTTGCTATAAATCGTTTTCCATAAATTTTCTCCATGTTATGGAGGGTGCTCTAAATCTGCTCGAATGAAATTAAAGTTAGGATAGGATGGAGAAAGAGGGAACATAGGCATGCAATTGTTAGGATACATATGTACAATATACCCAAAGTGGTGAAGGGTATCATATAGTCGGCCCAGTCCGACTTTACTACTTTCCTTACTGGTTTTTTGCTTGAACTAGTCACCCCATTAATAGAAAAGGCCAATACTAATATTAGGGAATCTATATGCCCCGGAGAACGCCTGACAATAACATTGATATTTTTAGCGACTGGGGCCAGCTATGCAAGTCCGATGTTCTCTTACCATCTTATATTAATTTATTAATTATAATTTAATTCGTAAGTGATGCAATTCCATTGTCACTTGCGGCAACAAAAATGTGTAAATAAAAACATATGATATGTATTGATCAAAAGAATGAACATGCTGTCAAAATATTTCTAGTCATCAATATTGCCAGATGCGATTTTGATGCCTATTTACATGGCATCATTAAAATTTTCAAAAGTTTTTTTTCAATAAATTTTGATCAATAAATTTTGATCAATAAATTTTGAAGAAATTTAGCTGTTTACACGAGTTCGTGTAAATGAAGCTTAAGTGCTTTACTGAACACTTTGCCGAAATGTATCAAAATTGTCAATAAGACTGGATATTAGGAGTATTTCGTTAAAGACAAAATTCTTCTATATCGATTTTCACCATTAGTTACAAAAGAAAGGTATTGTGAAATATAGATGGCGCTGCTGCTTTAGAACATTAGAAATAATACGTAATATAAGAATAACCGAATATGTAATTATAGTATGATAAAACCATAGGTAGAAATTATATTACAATGTTGTCTAATTGTATTAGGATTTAGAATCAAGGATTCGACAATACGTATGTAAGCTCATGAAATATAAAGACAATACGTAAACCCTAAAAAAAACAAACAAAAAACTCTACAAAATGAAAATAAAGTAAACTACGTCAAATTATATTCTCCAAGAAACGTAGTTTCGTTTCTGGTGTATTTGAATAAAAAAAAATCATACCGAAAATAAATATTCTAATACCTATCGCGCACAACTCCGACCGAAAATCAATTAACCAGAATGGCCGGTTATCGTGCAATGCCATTGGCACCCGTTACCGCCACCGCAATGGCCACCGTCTCGGCGCAACCGAATGGACCCACCATGTATCATCATCAGTCGATGACAGCAATGTCCAATAATGGTATTATCTATCAATCGGCGGTACACGCCTCGATACACTCTCTAAATACAGTACAAAATCAACGCTCAACTACACATCACATTTTAGCTACAGCAACGGCCACGGCAGCAGCGGCTGTTGCCACAGCGACGGCGCGCCAATATGCTGCAGCAGCGGCCACGGCAGCAACAACAGCGGCTGCCGCAGCAGTGGGTGGTGGTACAACATCACCAAATGGTGGGACGGGGGCAGGAGGGGGAGGCGTACATCATCAATATCAAACGTCAACGCAGCAGCAGCAGCAACAACAACAGCAGCAGGTGGCACATCAACAGCAGCAGCAACAACAACAGCAATTGGTAACAATGCAACAACATCATCAACAACAGCAGCAACGTTTGTCAGCCGCCGGGCAACATCAATTAATGACCGCCACCCATCATCAGCAGGGGCAGTTGCAACATTCCCATCAACAGCCACATCATACCCACCATTTATCCCACCACACACAACAGTCACATCCCCATTCGCATTCTCATCATCCGCATCACCCGCATCTGTCACATCATCATCCCCATCCCCACCACCATCAGCATCAACAGATTGCCCTGCATCAGAACCATATGTTCTTCAGCGGAACAACATTGGGTGGCCACCACCACCATCATCATCGTCAGCTGTTTAGTCATATGCAAAGTGCCATTATGCCACTGGGTGTCAGTAAGTATTACAGAGAATTATTTTTTTTAGGTTTTAATAAACTCTATTTTTTTTTGTCAATGTTGGAATGATAATTTTTTTTTAAATGTTGTTATTGTAGATTAGATGTCAATGTTATTTAAAAAACTTTTCTTTAAATAAATATTTTGAGAACCAAATCGGGAGTAAATAAAAAAAAATATTTTCCCCCAAAAAAAAGAAACTTCCATACATCCTTGTTCCAATATCCTTAGGCATCCTTAGGGGCCAGTGCTCCCCAAATAAAATCAAAATTCTCTTTATTCCCATTAACTCGAACATCGGACTGCTGGCTTTCGCATAAATAAATTATATTTCCTCAACATGTTGTTTTCTGACCCACTGACTCTGTCTGCCCCTCAAAATATTTCCCATTTTCATTTGCACATTTGCAACAACTGACTAACCTTTTCGATAAGGAAAACAAATATCTACAACTTTTTATCTCTTTAACTATTTTTTTAATTAATTTGATAGGCATCTGATCTGTTTATCTGATGCTCTTATCTTTTATTTTTGGTTGGGAACGACAACTATTAACACATCAGCTTCACGATCTGATCTTCGAAGTTTTTTTTTGGCATGTGGCACTGGTATCCATTTTAATGAAAGAAAGTTGTTATATTTCCAAGAAAACGTGACAACATTCCAGTGGCCTTCTCCAGTGTTTTCATAGTTAAAAGAGATGGAATATATATAGCTTTCTCTCTCTCTCTCTTTCCTTCATTTTATCTTGAAAACAAAAATATAAACGGAAAATTTTAAAACGCAACCGTCATTATAATCAATGACGTAGTTGGAGACGATATATACAATGTCTTCCCTCACGAGAATCCCATTGTACGTCTCTCAATAAAAGAGAAACATCGAAGAGGTGAAATCTTCTCATTGTGGAAGATGCATTCTATCTACAGAGTATATATATTTAAAAAATATTCCTAAGGGAATAGATTTGAAAAAAAAAAAATATTAAAAATGTAATTTTTTTCAAGGGACATATTAAAATAGCTGTTGACATCGGAGCGTATAAGTTCTGTCGCTACTCATACGTATGGGAGTACTCTGAATCAATTAAAGCCGGGGAAGTTTTTTTCTTTGAAATGAAGAAAAGAATAATAAAAACATTTCTATGGAAACAAATTCGGGCCATTGAGCAACTGGAGAAGACTTTTTCAATTAAAAATATTTCGTCAGGGTCTCTGAGGACAATTGAATCTGATAGAAAAATATCCTTAGTTCCTAATGAATATCTTTTGTATTTTGTGTATTTTTTTGTTAAGAACCAGAAGAGACCAGATTTAACAATTTTTTTACATTCAGTTGAGCTCGGATTTTTTAAATATATCTAAAAAACAGCCGAGGATAGATTTTATATAAAATGTTTAAAAAAACTTTTGAAGGCGTTGATTTTTATGGAAGCATTCAAGTATTTTTTAAATATATTTTGTGAGGAGTTTAAATTTTTGAAAACATATTTTTTAAGGCGTAGATTTTTTAAATAATATTTTTGTATAAAAAGTCGTAGATTTTTTAAAAAAAATATTTTTCAGGGCGAAGATTAAAAAAAAATACTTTTCAAGGAGTAGATTTAAAAAAAAATATTTTTCAAGGCTTAGATTTTTAAAAACCTATTTTTCAAGGCGTAGATTTAAAATAAATATTTTTCAAGGCGCAAATTTTTAAAAAATATTTTTCAAGGCGCAGATTGTTTAAAAAATATTTGTCAAGGCGCATATTTAAAACAAAAAAATTTCACTGCGTAGATTTTTAAAAAAAATATTTTTCAAGGCGTAGATTTAAAAAAATATATACATTTTTCAAGGCGTAGATTTTTACAAAAATATTTTTCAAGGCGCATATTTTTTTAAATCAAGGCGTAGAATTTAAAAAAATATTTTTCAAGGCGCAGAATTTAAAAAAAATATTTTTCCAAGGCGTAGAATTTAAAAAAAATTCAAGGCGTAGATTTTTTTAAATCAAGGCGTAGATTTTGCAAAGCATTTAGTTTTTTAAAAAATATTTTTCATGGCTTATATTAAAAAAAAAACATTTTTCCAAAGTATCGATTTTTTTAAAAATATTTTTCAGGGAGTAGTTAAAAAAAAAAAACATTTTTCAAAATATCGATTTAAAAAAAAAATATTTTTCAAGGCGTAGATTTGTTAAAAAAAGTTTAAGGCTTAGATTTAAAAATATATATATAACTTGGAAGGCATAGATTTAAAAAAAATCACGTCGTAGATTTTTTAAAAAATATTTTTCAAGGCGTAGATTTATTAAAAATATTTTTCAAGGCGTAGATTTTTTAAAAAATGTTTAAGGCTTCAAGATGTAGATTTTTTTTTAAAATATTGTTTTCAAGACGTAGATTTTTTTAAAATAATTTTCAATGTATATATTTTTTAAAAAATAATTTTCAATATATATATATTTTTTAAAATATATTTTCAAAGCGTAGATTAACAAATTTTCAAAATCTTTAGATCTTTAAAAAAATATTTTTTCAAGGCGTAGATTTTAAAAAATTCAAGGCGAAGTATTAAAAAAAAATACTTTTCAAGCTTTCGATTTTTAAAAATATTTTTCAAGGCATAGATTTTTTAAAATATATTTTCAAGGCGTCGATTTTTTAAATATTTTTTTCAAGGCGTAAATTTTTGTACAAAATATTTTTCAATGCATTGATTAAAAAAAAATATTTTCTTTGAAACATATTTTTCAAGGCGTAGATTAAAAAAAATTCAAGGCAAAGTATTTTGAAAAAAAAAAAAAATACTTTCCAAGGCTTAGATTTTTAAAAATATATATTTCAAGGCATGGATTTTTTAAAATATATTTTCAAGACGTCGATTTTTATACAAAATATTTTTCAAGGCATTAGTTTTTTTACAAAAAATATTTTTCAAAGAGTAGACTTTATAAATTCGTTTTTGTCATAGACCATAGATAAAAAAACAGTAACCGGAGATTAAAAAAATATATTAAAAAAAAATTAAGAAGGGACTACTCGCTTTGTTTTATATTTGTTTTTTTTTCACCAAACTCACCCACATAATGATCTTCTAGGTTATATTCTATCAATAGAAATCCATTATGAATTATTTGGTTTACCAATCGTAGGTATTCCTATAGATTCTAATCAGATATACTTCCCTTCTTCCATTTCTGAATGTCCATTTAGCATTTCAATTTATTGTTGTTGTCCTTCATGAAGTGACGTCCACCTTCTTCTTTGCCAAAATTCCAGTCAAACAGGTCAATTGAAATAAATGATCCCTTTTTGCTTTCCATAACCCACCCCTTCTAGAAGCCGGCGGTCATTTACACATTGCGTTAAGTATCTGTAAGTGTGTGTGTGTGTGTGCGCGAATGTGTTTGCTGATGCGTGTGACGTCTAGATGTCTTGCTGGTCGGTTGGTTGGCTGGCAAACAAATGTGAAGTTGGCACTTCTTCCATTTCATTAAATTTTATTCTATTGGAATGCCTTCCTGTAATTCGCACATCGTTACCGCACGGATAAGCGCGTGTGTGTGATGGCGGCACCACACACGCACACACATTGTTATGGGTGAGAATGTCCCGAAGACGAAGCGAAAAAGGAAAGAAACATAAAACGACGACGACGTTCCATATCAAAAAACACATTTTTGTGCAAAACAGACAATTGAGACTAAGAACATTTTGTTTGTAAACGAGCTATGAATGACAACAAATAGCGAGGACACACACACAAGCACACACATACGCAAAAAGAGGGACACACACTCTCTCTCATACATGTCTATAAAATAACAATAAAGACGTTGTTTTGGCTTTGCAAAAGGTTTATATAGGGACGGACATAGAACTAGCACAAAAGGACTTCATGGATCGTGAGGTATATTGTGGCTGTTGCTTATGGCCTTAAGGATATCTACACACACACACAAACGTACACATGAATAGCAAAAAATACAAAAATATTATTGTTGCTGTTTTGTTTAACTTTCTATTGTCTGTTCACCAGGTGAATTGTTGTTTTGTATTGAAAACGGATTTTTCTTTTTTCGTTTTTTTTTATTGTGGTCTATTGTAAATGTTATGACTTTTCTATTGTCTTAACTCACTCACTCATCCCGCTCTTCTTTTTCTTATATCAAACAACTTAACTCCTAAAGATTTACCACAACAAGTCGAATAAAGATTCCCTACATCTCATTCTCCGCCTATCATCATCATCGTTCTTCAGTTCGAGCATGAATGGGTGAAACATGTCGAAAAGGACTTTTTTATAGTTGTTGTTTTTATTGTTGTTGTAGTGATACTTTGCCTGGTAGTGGTGTTAATAATGTTAACAGTGTCAACATGTTGAGTATTGTGCTGAAAGGTGTATTGAAACGCGTTACATACATGTGAACATATGTTTCAGGTGTGAGTCTGTGTATGTGCGCGCACTGAAATCTGGGAGTGGTGGGGGGATATTCACCTGTACGGTTATATATATACTTACAGCAAGTTGATGTAAAATATATGTTGGAAAAATGTAAAAATTGAGCTCCACATGTTGCATGAAAAAAGAAACGTAAAAAAATAAAAATTCAGAAAAAATCTTTAACTTGTTTCGACCAGTCCATAGTTTTGGTTGTCTTTTCAAAAATATATTTTTAGATCCTTCCTTTGACAGAAAAATTATGTGCAATTTTGGTTTCGTAGATTCCACCTCGCACAGGTCGTCGAAAATGTCAATAAAATCGGGGAAATGATCGAAGTTGACCGGCATGGTAACAGTCGTAACCTCGCGCATCTACAGTGACTCGCCAGAAACTTCAGCAGCTTGGTTGGGAAGTTTTAATGCATCGGCCATACAGTTCGGACTTGGCACCAAGCGATAATCATCTTTTTCTTGCATTGTAAAATTTCTTTAATGATAAAACCAGTGAGCGGAGCAGTATAGTCGGACGGGGCCGACCATACGATACACTGCACAACTACCACGGAACTC